TAGGATCCCTGTGTTTCGAAAATCGCAGCTGGCTAAGAACGCTCCGCCAAAAAATGGGCTTTCATCTGTTGTGTGTTTACTGTTTTCATATGGCAGCATAAGCCTTACATTCCAATTTTTCCTTTCGCAATGTCGATGACTCAGATTGAATCTTTAGTCACAATATGTGTGCAGAATTTAGGTCAGCCAATAGCCTAGAGAACTCATCAATCAAAGCACAAAACTATGCTCTGCGGGTCAACGTACAATAATTATCTGACTAATATTCTCCTACATCATTCACTCAATTTATAACTGTTGGACAGAATGTGATTTTATCATGTAAAACGATGAAAGCCGGATAGGCAAGGCTAGAAAAGTAAACAAGATAATATAGCCTTCAGAGACGCATATGAAACTACCAGAATATTAAACCAAGGCGTTGCCATCACGGAATCTATTCTGTTGAATTAGCTGGGCTCATTATGGTGAAATCGCGTTCTCTTTTCTGCATAAGAGAAGGGATGATTTATGGCGCCCTAGTAATTTTTTTTCAGTACCAGATGCATTTTTCATTTTATGGACCCGTGGCATTTCGAAGTTCCTTTACAAGACAGATCCATATTTGGCACTGCAATGACCGCTTTTTGAGGCCTATATTGTCTCGTTTACAATACTTTATCAGCTCTTTCTCGCACCTAATCTTTTATGATCGAGCATGGTTCATTTCGACATCATCGTAATAGTGTGTTTCAGTGTAATGTTTATTACACATATTTGACTTGTCGGGTCAGCATTCATGGTTTCCCTTAAATGTTTAACAAGAGCTGTCCTCGACTTAGCTTGATTGCTTTTATCCTTATACGTTTATTTATTCATTGCTAGCCTATATACTATCTTTTCTGAATTTTATAAGTCCCCATTTTGGATCCTTTACTCTTCCTGGTTCTGGTTCTCTGGTCCGGGTTCTTCGGTTCTGGCTATCTTGTTGCATCTGATATCGGGCAGCTTTATTTCTTCTCTCAGTTTGAGTCTTCCTCTTCCATGCTTTTTAGCCTTCTTCCTGATTAAGCCCTTTCTCCTTGATGTTTTTAGAAAATTTTCCATTTGCGTTTTATGCGATGATCTATATAGCGGTTGCAGCACCCAAGATCTTGGCATGGAAGGCGAATCCGCTATTACTTGCCGCAATCTCAAACTATGGTCCTCTGCTCATCTTCCTTCGGTGACTCAGCCTGTTCAATCTTCTTCGATGGCTTGGGAACTCGTACAAATTGACCTCGATTCGTCTACTTCGAGGGCTGATTTGTCTTACAAGGTGCCTCGGTTACTATAATTATAAGTTCATTAAAGCTGAGTGCTAATCTTCATAAAATCTTTTCTCAATTGCTATTCGAAATTCTGAAACTTTATTCCTTTTCATGTTTCGAAGGTTCAGTTTTACACGTTTTCTTAGTCGCTTGACATAAAGTGTTATGGGGAAACTTTGTTGAACTGCATTATTTGACCAGTCTTTTCCAAGTGGCTTGTTTCATTTTTCCGCAGATTCTGCTCGATGCCTCTAGCTACTATCGCGTCGCTTCCATTTTTGAGTTTGATGTTCATGTTTTCCACATAGTCATTCTGTTCACTGATTCGTCTATTTTTCTTGGGCCTATAGATTTTTTGGACGACGATCTTTGCTCTGGCATCTTTTCCTGTAATTAGTCTTTACTTCTTGCACTTCGTTAACAGACTTCTTTATTTGAGGCCTCAACAATAAGCTTGCCACCAGGTCAAGGTCGGCCTCCTCTAGTTCATCAGTTTTATCATTTGTCTATCACATGAATTCTTTCCGTATCTTATCCTTTTCTTAATCTAGGCCACTTGCAACTTGCAGCGTGCATTTACGTTCATATTTTTGCTATTCCAAAATTTAGAGGCCACTTACTAAACTCTTGTGTTATCTATTCCTGCTGCCCGGTTCAGGAGTTGCACTAAGCAGAGTATTGGACGCATCGGTGAGTCGGCAACTCTTTGCAAGAACAGCGAGCTCTGGGTCTCATCCTTACCTAACTCGGATAAGCTTCCCTCAAACAACTCGCCCCGACTTACCTCGCACTTTGCCTTCGGCTCCTCTAACTCCTCGCTGATGGGTTGGAGAATGGCTCAGATAGAACTGCCTTCGACGGAGAATAGTGCTTTTAAGGTAATCCATCGCCAGTCCGACTTCTCGCTT